GCGGACTGAAGAATGCATATAAATATTTTAGTATGCAAAATGTCGGACTGTAGTATGGAGCAGACAATTGTATGTTGGTATGGAATTTATATTGGTATGGAGCTTTTAGAGAGTAGAATGAAAAAATGTAGACAAACATTGAATTTATGATGGTATAGAGTAGTATGTTCAGCGGCATACTAGTTTGGAGATTTTTAATATGCAACAGTGCATACTAATCCGGAATAGTGAATGGTGAATTAAATGCGGACTGATCCGATTTTAGTCTGGTCTGCAGCATTCTACACAACCATTCAAAGCCTTAATTTATTTTTGTAATCGTTTCATACCCAAAAAAACTCACTGCTCATAGAAGTCAGATTCTTACAGTACAAAGAAAAAGATCACCCAACGCAATCCACTGATCAAGGATACATGTATAACATTCATTGATTAAGATTCAATGAGAAAAATAAAATAAAAACTCTATGTAATCAACACTTGATCCTCCACCCCATAGTTACTCCATCTGAAAGTAAAGAATATGCAACGCAGAACTTGGGATTTCCGCGACCAAATCCTTTTCGGAAAACCAACTGTCAATGATGTTCCCAATAGGAGATTCCATTGAATTCGCAGCCCATCTGTCTGCAAGCTTAAACCCATACTTAGATGCAGCTGACAGGAGAGAAGGTTCATCAACCCTTCTGAAAACATGGCATAGAATCAATGCCGGCTTTTCTTGCATCTCTAAGTCTCCCATTTTCCGTAAGATCAATTCTTTTGCGGTTTCAAATAAAGGTATAATGGCTTCAGCTACATAGGTAACATCTGTCCCGATGATAACTTCAAATCCCTCACAAGCCAAACGCTTAATGCTTTCTGTATGTTCTTTGTTACCCCATTCAAGTACACCTGTTTTCAGTTTTCCAAGTAAAGAAGATTGGAGGTTCATTGTGATGTTCTCTGTCAGTAGTGTAAGTGCCTTCGTGTCTGCATCGGTAGCTACCACAAGGTTAGCTGATCTGGCAGCTACCATCGAGCAAATTCCTGTGCAGCCACAACCCAATTCCAACACCCGTTTTCCAGACACAATGTTTGGGTTCCTGTCAAGAACAGAAGCCATAAGCCGAGCAGACTCCCAGAGCATCAACCCCGTAGATTTGCAAGTATGCTGATATTCTTTGGACAAAAGTTTGATTTTAAAATCAGAATCCCTAAGCTTAACCACGGTCATCTATGATAAGAAATCGGATAGAAAAACAGAGATGAACTTGTAAGCGTAGAATCAAAATAATAATACTCTTCGACGAAATATGTAAAAACAATGAAATTACCGAAGTCTCTTACCTCATGACTTGATGGGGAGGCTCCAAACATTTCCATAGCCAGACCATCAGATATGTCAATGTCAGTGTTATCGATAATCTCTTTTCTTTCCTGCTCCTCAGATTTAGACTGAATGCTATCATGTTGTTCAGATTTGTCTAATTTGGCAGGAGATAAACTATCGCCAGGGTTTTGGTTGCCATGCGATCGACGAAATGTAGCTTGGACCCAGCGCCGATTCATGACCAGTTCGCGTGAACGATTCTCAACTTGTTTGCAGCAAACATCAAGCTTCTCAACTTCAAATCCTTGTTCGGAAAACAGAGTTTCTAGGAATTCATTAGAAAAGTAGAATGCACGCTGCATAGAAAAGGTAATCATCACAGATCTGACAAAAAATAGAAATGTGTACAGCAAAGAAATAGCACAGAAGAAAGAAAGAACTTACAGTGCCATCACCTCTCACATAAAAGTTCTCGCTGATCTTCTGATCCTTCCCAGAAAACCTCTCCTGTTGATAAAATACTGAAACACATAATGGGTAACCATGCCTTCGTATTCTAAAGGATACTAAATCTCCCTAAAACTGGGTGTTCTTCTTAAAAGGAAAGCCAGACCACAATGTCTTTTTTTTTTAAAGCATGAAACTGTAGTGGAAGGTTTTTTCTTTTCAACAAAAAATTCAAAGTTAAAGAGACTCGTTTCAAGTGCATCAAAATGGGCATCCATATGAGAAGCGACAACTTTGAATTTCTGAAATAATAAAAGGTGGATCAAACCTGAGCAAGATCACCGACAGCATAGTCACGGAAAAGGATACACCCATTCGGCTGAAAACAGAATAATACGAAAGTAACTCAACATGAGGAATTCAGTTTAACAGAAGAAGATGGATGCCCAGAAGTACATGAGAAAGGATGTGTTTGATACCTTAAGCACTTTCTTAATGTTCTGCAATACTGAGGCCATCTTCTCTGGGGATACCGCAGATAAAACGAATATCTGTTCAACAAGTATTGAACATGAGAAATAATCCATGATGAGAAAAGAAAAGGCCTAAACATTATATACTCAAAGAAACAAAAACCAGGGGCGCAATTAGAGAGGAGTGTTAATCTTTTACTAAGATAATTTGATGGATCCTTATCTTCTACCTAGTTAACACAATAATATAAATTTGTTAGGAAAAATACCATGGTCACAATATCAACTGAAGATGGAGAAATATGCTTGTCAAGACCATCCCCTGTCAAGTCACAAGCAAATGCACACACACGCGTCTCTGTGTATTCGTCATGAGCCTGAATGTCATAACAAGTTAAATACAATCTGATCAAATTCAACAGAGGCCAGTAAACAAAAGGTTATGAAGCACATGACAAATCGTACACTATTCCATCTGGTGGTGAAAACTACTCAGGTATAAGTTAAGGTGGACCTTTTAAAAGTGCTTAAGAGATGCAAAGACTTAATAGACTATTACTATAAATCGCAAGATTATCAGTACGTTTAAGGTACTCATTCATAATGCAGTAATAAGTTTATCAGTTATCCCCAGCAAATTAAAACTTACATCATAGAGCTGAATAAATTAACCTCACTAGCAAAGACAAATCAAACAACGAAAAGCAAACATTAGAGAAGAATAATGAGCAACCTTGACCAATTCGACGGCTCGTGGTGAAAAATCACATGCATAAACAAAAATGTCTGGATATGTGGCAATCAACGGAAAGATGGTGTTTCCAGCTCCACAACCAACCTGCAAATCAAGACCAATTGCTCACCAGAATAACAAAATAGCTAGATATAGATGAGTAACAGCTTGAGCATTTGTGATTACCTCAAGAATGACTTTTTTCCCACTACCCTGAAAAAGTGAATAAGTCAAACTCAGGTTAAATACTATAATAGGTAATGCAGCAGATACAAAAAGAACTAGTTTTGATACTCACGGAAAAATAGCTATTCCATTCCTTGTCCAAGTAGTGGCGGTCTTTGAAAAACTGATGAAGTACAAGAAATTTTTATCATATAAAGTACAGTAATATCATTAGCATAGTGAGCTCACACTCAAATTTCACAAAGCACTAATGTCAACGTTATGATATGACCTAATAATAGAACCAGGAAGGAACTTAGATTATATTGGTAAGAAAAAATATAACTAAGGGCTGAGGCAGTTGAAGACAGAGCCCCTCACACTCCTTACACAAGATCCGGTCAAGACTCGGCCATAATTCCGTTTCTCCTATAGAACCACCGTCCAAACAAACACCTAACTTACTAAACACTAACGAAACAGCTCTACTTGATATTTAGTATCAGTAAATAACTTGAGTCCTCAAACCCATTAATCACCCTAACCAGTTCAGAGGAGTGGCAGCTTTAAAAACTCTTCACTTTTATACTTCTACCACAAAATCATCAAAGAGAGGGTCTTAATAGTTAACATTCATCTTAAGGGTCCTTAAAAGCATTTACCAAATAAAATAAAATAAAGTGAATCCACCGTATGTTACACACTTATATGCATCAATATTAGCTCAATTACATGTGAATTGAGAAAGAAAGTAACTGATAAAAAAGGCTTACTCTGTCTCCATGATGCTTGTAAAATATATCCCAATACTTTTTAGCATCCCTTTCATACTTCTCTGATAGATATGAAACAACTGAATATAAGTAAAAATTCATACTTGTCAAAAAAAGATATCAAAATCAGCATAAAGATGTAAACTTTGACAAACCTCGCCAAAAAGGAGAAACACCGGCATTAGCCGTCGGATAAATCTGCAACTTCTGAATCGGTTTCTGCTGTTCTTCTATGATTTTCAAGCCAGCAGACATTATTACCACACGCCGTATCTTCGTAAGAACAAAAAATTCATGAATTTGAGTAAATTAAAGAAAACCCAAGTAACTCAACAAGTAGAAAAGGAACACTAAGTAACCTGTGCTTCGTCGACGGTAAACGCTCTGGTTCTTCTTCTTCCCTGAGAAATCTGAAGAAGAACAAAGTTTTTTAAGTGGAGCGATTAGGAGATGACTATGAAGCCCATTAAGCTGCTGGGTTTTAAGTTGCTCGGCCCAATCGTGGATCTAAATGAGTAAAAACAATTTTGTCAACTTATTAATACTTCAATTTAACTTACTTTTTTTTCTAACTGGGTAAGTCTGTAAAAAAAAACCCGAGTTCTTTATTTTTTAAGATGTCTATATTGATGAAGAAAAATCCATAACGATATGTCTAGATAGTGATATTTGATCTTTATCGATTCCCCTCAATGTAGATGTGATACTTACAGCATGTAGATGTGATACTTACATATCCCTACTTTTTACTTAATTATGGAGATATATGATTCTAAATCATTCAAATTTAGAGGTTTTTAAGGGGAGAATTCTCCCCCACTTTTTTATTTTTTTATTTTCTATTTATAACTATTTTTAGTTAATTTAAATTGTGGGAGACTTAATGAGAGACTCACATGATGTACATGCTCTCATGTGAACAATATGTCAAAAATTTGATCTAGAATATATACCAATTAAAATTTTCTATATACTCAACTAGTAATTAATTTTAAGCTTTGCTTACCAAACAAGAGATAATTGATTTTGTGATGTTTCGTTCACCATATCAAGATTGCTAACTAAGAGCCTTAAGACCATCCTCATTGATGGGCTCTTAGGACAAATCTTAGATTTAAAGTGATTAAAATTAAATCATTAATTGTTTAAAACATTAAGAAAGGTCTTTGGTTAGTGTTAAGAGGCGCCACATGTCGGAATTCTATTGGTTTTAGGGTAAAAATAAGAAGAAGAAATTGTATTAAGTTTTATGTCCTGTATGTTATAAATCGTATGTCATGTATGTTTCAAATTTTATTATTTGCAATAATTATTAAGTTTTCTAAAATTTAAATTGTTTATCTTATTTCTTTTTTGAATTAATTGTTTTTTCTCTAAGAACCACAGCTAAGTAGCAGGAGTAGTACCATCAGCATTAGCAGCAGGAGTTGGAGTTGGTTGGACCTCTGAATGATCATCCGCAGCAGGAGTTGATTGGGAATTGAGGAAGGCCAGGAAATTAGGGTCAGTTTCACTCAGGTACTTCTTCACCATCGTCAAATGCTTGATCTCAGCTGCTTGTGATGCTGCGACCCGCAATGCCTCTGCTTCACGTGCAGCTTGTAGAGCTGCTTGTTCCTCTATCTTGCGGTTAGCATCCTCAAGCTGTGACTGCAGGGTTGTGAAAGAAGAGCTGCTTCCTGCGTACTTGCGCTTCCCGTTGATGTAAACCCCTAAGCTTCCAATTCCAAAGTAATCCCCTCTATCATTTGTGACAGTAGACTGCAAAACAAAGTAAAAACATTAGTGCTTAACAGATAAAAGTAGACTACAGACCAAAAGACAAGACTACTACCTGAAGAAATATCTCATCATCCTCCTCATGAGACAGCTCAGACCGACGCGAAGTACCATCAGACTGTTCATCATTCTCATGCAGGGCAGCCAACTTAGCTGCCTTGTTCTTGAGATATGCCTCATGGATTTCCTGCGCCTTCCTATATACAAATGTCCCATCCTTCTTGGTATGAGTTCTGATGAACACTTCTCCAATAGTAGGAGGTCTTCCCAATTCAACTTCCTGAAATATAGTAACAGAGATGTCAGCAAGTAATAAAAAAAACAAGTATTTAAAACAGACATGTAACTTACCATCTCTTGCTCCACTTGTAAAAAGGACTTTGGACCAGAAACATGCTTGTGAGGACCAAGACCATTACGGTCAGACATCCTAGCTGCTGATGTGGTTGAACTCTTGGCTTGGGCTTCTTCAGTATCCTAATACTGACACATCTCTCTCCACGGTGTTTTCTCAATTCAATACGGCCTCACTCTTTTTGTCCGTGCCTTACAAACCATGTCTTTCATACACACTGCAATGATCTTGTAGAACTTGGCTTCAACCACACCTGTCAGTGAGGGATGCCAGGTGTGTGTTTTCTATCAAAACAAGAGGAGAGTGAAGCAGATGTTAGTTATCAAAATACAATATGAAAATACAGTAGTAGAAGAGGGATAAAAGCTTACAGCAAATTCAAGAAAGTATCTTTCTCTTCTTCCAGTTGGCACACAGCTCCAATTGTTGTATGGTCCATCAAACTTGTTTGTAAAACACTTGGTGATTTTCCGGGTCAGCTTACCCTGATCCTTACCAAACCTACAATCAAATAAACAAAACAAAATAGTAAGCTGTACACAAGAATACAAATTAACCTCTACACAAACTATACCTAAACAGACCTAAAAACAAGAACCAGACCTATCGACAAGTATAATCTATACACAAATAGCCTAAAAAGAAGAACCAGACCTAACCACAAGTATAATCTATACACAAACAAGAACCTATACACAAACCATACCTAAACCCTAAACAAGAACCAGAACCTATACACAAACCATACCTAAACCCTAAACCATACCAGAACCTATACACAAACCATACCTAAACCCTAAACCATATTTAAACCTATACACAAACCATACCTTAACACAAACAGACCTAAACCATACCTAATCCTATACACAATTCTAGACAATCCTACACAATTCTATACAAACAATCCTATAAACATGTGAATCCTTACCATGTCGTCCCAGGCTCTAAATTCGGAGAGATGACAGTTGTATAGAGCTCACGGCCTGGCATCATCAGCAAGTCATTCAAAGTAGCAAGCACTTCTTCCGAGAGCGTTTAATCCCTCAAACCTTCTTCCTCCGATGTAGCTTCATCAACAGCTTCTTCATCCGATGCAGCTTCTTCTTCTTCAACGTTTTGAGCTTGAGAACTGTGACCAGACATAGAGGCTCTTGGTGGTCGTTGTTGACTAACCACTGGAGAATGAACCGGCGCTGGAGGCTGAACTGGAGCTGGAGACTAAGAGGCGCGAGGAGATCCGGATGCTAAACGATGAACAGAGGAGACAGACCCTCTAACTTGAGTCGATCCGAATGCTCGAAACAGAGTCGTTCCAGAGCCTCGAGGAGATCCACCAGAGCCCCGAGGAGATCCACCACCACCACCTTCGCCCGACTGGAAAAGCTGCTGCGGAGGTGGATAGTCTCTCAGACTCAGTTGCGGTAAAGGCTGGCGATTCGGAGGTTGCTCAGTCTCTTGATTTGGATCTTCAGGATTCGCCGGCGTGAACTCATACTTTGACGGAAGGCTCCTTGGTCTTCGACTCGACACACCGGAAGATGTGGATCGAGTAGGGACGACAGTGGGTCGCTTCACCGGAGACTTCGGTCCCCTTTTCCCTCTTCCTCTTCCTCTTCCACCGCGAACACGAGGAGCCATCGATTGAGATGATAATTGATGAAGATTGAGAGAGAGATATTGAGAGATTGGAAACCATGGAAATTTTTGGGTGGATCTTCAGTTTTACAAAGAAATTGATTTAACTCCTCCTCAGCACAATGATGAAGCCTCTCCAAACAAGTTTAAGCCTCCCGTGAACAACAAGGCAACAAAATTTTAGCTACAATCAATGGAAATATTAAGATTACATAATTAGTAAATGTTTCTGTACCAAAATTGACCTTGCAAATACTCGAAAAATTGTCGTTCAGCTTGTTCATGCTTAGGTAGGTAGTATCCATATGCATATGTCCATTGCAAGACTGTCCTACATTTGATTATCTGCAACAGTAAAATCAGTTGCATTTCATTAATAATGTTATAATTAACGAAAGTCTAATTAACTTAGAGTTCGCATAATGGTGTCATTAAATCATCATTAAGATGGTTTTTCCATTTAATATAAAGCTTTCCTCGTTTATTCAACCATGTATTGATTCCATTATGTTTCGTTGTTACATTCCACATATATACTTTAATTTGTGAACGGTTTCGCAATGCTACTATAATCAAAGAATTATTTAAATACTTTTACTAACCTAAAGCCATGCTTCTATGGTGAATTGGAGCTGATTTTCTTTTATGTTCTGCTTCTCACTAATCTCCTTAAGCTGCACTGATGGCCATATCTCCAGATCTTTCATAGCCTTTACCCTCGACGCTCGATTAAATGCCCATCTTTCATAAAAATGTGTGTACCTATCGAGATACAAGAAAACCTGCGTTTTGCAACTAAACTTTGCGACCAAACTTTTAGTCGCAAACTTGTGTGACTAATTTACGACTGTTTACCGACGAATTCAAACGCAGTTGGAATTTAGTCGCTATTTGGCGACTAAAACAAATAGTCGGTAATTGGTCGTTCATTAACGACGGTTTTGCGTCCGATTGCAGACTAATTTGTTTTAGTCGCAAATGAGTCGCATCCGATTGCACATGTGCGACTGATTTGCGACTCGATATTTGGTCTGAAATTATGGTCGCACTTTAGTTACGCTTTCGTTGCAAACTAGTTAGAAAAAGTTGGCACAAAACACGTTGAAATGCAGAAGAGGTAGGTGTACTAAACTTTTGTGACTACATGAAACGGTCGTAGATTAGTCAAAATTTTAACCCTATATATACTAACCTCATTCATTTAATTTCTCCATCCCACTCTCTTCCATCCTTGCAAATAGTCACAAATTTCTTTTTTTTGTTTGTTGTTGATAGATTGTGAATGGAAATAGGTGTTATATATGGAGAATAATAAGATAGTACATAAAGAGACATCAAAGATTAAGTCGTTGAACAATAGAGAGGTTTTAGTGGAGAAACGAGGAGTGTCAGTTTTGGAGAATGGAGGTGTTTGCAAGATTGATCGTATGACAGGGCTAAAGTTCAAGCGCCGGAATGTTTTTGCTGTGAGGGATTTCCCACCGGGTTGTGGGACCGGTGTGGAGCGGTTTGGATTGAGAAAAATGGAAGATGAAGAAGAAGAATTTGAAGATGAATGAGTTTTATAATTATGAGATATTTTTATTTGTTTAATAAATGTATAAATATGTGTTTTGTAAGATATTCTAGCATGTGTGTTTTATTCAAAAAAGAGGAAAAAATAATCTAAATCAGTGACTAATTGTCTTGTGACTAATAGATAACAGTAGCAAAAGTGCCACCATTTTGTAACCATTGTTCATTTAGCGACTATTTTGCGACGAATATTGCAACTATTGACCGACCAATATTGCGACTATATTGGTACTAATTGTGAAATTTCTAAGATTTTTGCTAAGTGTTTGGTCGAACTTAGTAATAAGATTCATGCACACCAAGTGTTCGTTAAAATGTCCTAACCAATGACATCTACATATCCATTTTAAAACCAAATTCAATTGATGAAAATACTACAAGACAACATTACACAAACTAGAATTCTTATGCAAATACTCATATATATTACAAGTTCAAGTTGGAGTTGCTTAAAGTCTCATAAACAATATTACATTACAACATTACACAAACTAGAATTCTTATGCAAAGAAGACATAGTACACCATAGCCATGACCAAACCACCACACACAACCATATTTTTGAAGCTTCGTAACTCTTGTACCTCTTTCTCACACAAACTGACGACATCTTTGAGATATACAATCTCTTTCTCACATCTTTCTGCCCTTTCTTTGATAGCTTCAAGCTCATGTAATCCTTTTGCTAAGCGTCCCACATCTCCTTCTATCTTCTCAACCACACTTTCAACCATTTCCATCTCTTCGACCATGGATATGTCGGTCCACCTAAACAAATGATGCTTATTCTGCAACAAAAATACACTCATGAGGACAATTTGCATATGTTCATACAACTTGAGAGCATATCATAACCAAAAAGATCACATTTTTACAACGTACAACAAAACCTAAGCAGCTAGAGAATGTGAAACTAAGATCAACGTAGACAAATTACGAAAGGTGAGAGATAAACCAATGTCTCGAAGCAAGATCGAAAGCTAAACGAAAATTCAAATCAAGAGAAGCTTTGTGTACCTTAAGATTCTATAACTTAAGAAAACATTACCTCACCAATGTCTCGAAGCAAGATCGAAAGCTAAACGCAAATGCAAATCAAGAGAAGCTTTGTGTACCTTAAGATTCTATAACTTAAGAAAACATTACCTCCTATGATCCGAAAGGACAACAATGAAAGAGTCTCCCCGCATTTTTCAAAGTGTTTGAAGTCTTAATCACAGAGAATTGACCACATTTACATTGTCTTGGGATCCCTCTTCCTCTCACAGAGAACCTATCGCTCACTCCTTCACCAATCCGCAAGAAATTAAGTATCTATCAAAATCTACAGAAAATGAATTTAACACCTTACATTCTCGATTACTGACCTGAAGAAGCTGATGAAGACATCGGGATCAACACTTATGAAGCTCAGCAGAAATTGGGATCTTTAGAACCCTAGCTTTTCCATAATCCCCAATTCGATTTTATGTCGCAAGGTTGAAGAAGAAGAAGACTAAATGAGATGACTAAACGACGTCGTTTTACCCATTTGTCTTTCCTTTAAAATCAGTCGCAAATTTGCGACCGTTTTGCGACAAACGTATATTGAAACGTTTATTCTCCACCAATTTTCTCTTAGTCGCTAACTAGTCGGTCATTTGCGACTAGCACCTGAAGATTTTGCGACTGTTTTGCGACTAGCACCTGAGATTGCGACCCATATGCGACTATTTGCCAACTCTCGATTTTTGTTTTCTCACTTTTCACATTTTAAATTTGCTTACATATAAAGTTAAACATTTCTACACTTATTTGATATTACTCATCAAGAAAATCTTAACCAAAGTCATAAATACTGATGTTTAGAAACAAAATATCAAAAACAAACAAATCTCTTTATGATATTACATTACTCATATGAGTAATGTTTAGGGATTTAGTAAAAACTCTACATTACTTGAGTTTTGCAAAGTTTTGTAACCTTAAACTAATATATGTCCTCTATAACCCTAATATGAGTGTTATAGAGTGATATATGTCACCATTTTGGATCGAAATGTGTAGATTTCAAAATTTTGCCTTGTGACTAATAGATCACAGTCACACAACCGTCGCAAATTTGCCACCATTTTGGAACTATTTGCCTGTTTGCGACTATTTTGTGACAAGTTTTGCAACTATTTACCGACCATACTTGCGACTATTTTGGTACTGAATGTGAAATTACTTGAGTTTTGAAAAGTTTTGTAACCTTAAACTAATATATGTCCTCTATAACACTAATATGAGTGTTTTTGAGTGATATATATCACCATTTTGGATCACAATGTGTAGATATATAAATTTTGTCTTGTGACTAATAGACAAATGTCACACAACGGTCGCAGTTTTGCCACCATTTTGTAACTATTGTTCATTTAGCAACTATTTAGCGACGAATAGTGCAACTATTTGCCGACCAATAGTGCGACTATTTAGCTACGGTTTGTGAAATTTCTATGATTTTGGCTAAGTGTTTGGGCGGTTCCGATTCCCCCAAATTTTTTTTCTTTGTCACTAATTTGCGACTAAAGAGCGACCAATACACTTAATTATTAGGTTAAAACAAAGTCGATTCTTCACTTTCTCATTTCCCCTAATTTCGATCTAGGGTTTTCTTATTCTCTCCACTTCACTACGATTTTCGTTTTTCTTCTCAAATCTCCTCAAAAGTCTTCAAATCTTCTCATTTCTTCGAATCTCTGTCTCAAATCACTTCGTTCCTTTCCTCTGGGTTCAAATCGATTGTCTCAAACCCTAAATTTCGACTCAAACTGCGATTTTCATGGCTCCTAAAGGTAAATCGTCACGCGGCCGTGGTGGGGGCCAGAACACCAGAGCAACAGCCGCTGGAGGAGGCCAGAACTCTAGAGCAGTAGCCGCTGATCCAGTCGAGAACACTAGACCAGCAGCCGCTGGAGGAGGCGAGACCAGTCGCCGCGGAGGGGGCGAGACCAGTAGCCGTGGAGGACACCAGACCAGTAGCCGCGGAGGAAGCCAAACCAGTAGCCGTGGAGGAGTCAACAGACCAGTAGCCTCTCGACCCCGAACCTATGTTGGTCACAGACTACCACTCACTACGAGTGGGGTCGGAACATCTTCTCACTCATTCAACCCTCACTCATCGAACCCATCAGCGACACAGTCTGCGACCCAATCCCATGCGAATCATCCTTTCGGTAGACAACCTCCTCCTCCTCAGCCGCATCATCAGCCACAACAACCGCTTCCTCCTCTCCAGCCTCTACCGGAAGATGATGCGAATCTCCAAGGCATACCTGAACAACAAAACCAACTCCATGGAGAGGAAGAGGACGACGAAGAGAACGCTGATCCAGCTGGAGACTACGAAGACATGCTGGATCGTTTGCTAGCCCTTCCAGGCCGACAAAATCTACCTCTTCTGTCTAGACACCCAATACCAGGCGTTAAAACACTCTGGTATTAACTTTGTCCCTCTTATAGTAGTTAATTTTGTTATTTGTTGTTTTTCTGTTAATCGCAAATTGTTATGAACAAATTGTTAGTTGTTGTTTTTCTGTTTCTAAAGTGACAATTGTTATTGCATTGGTCTAACAATTGTTATGATTAGTTTGCGATGATTTGATACTTAGTTCTTGAAAACCATCACTGTATCTTAGCTTTAGAGAGTTAAAATAGCAGATGTTTGCGATGATTTGATACTTAGTTCTTGAATGTGTTTTTGTTGATTCTTTTGCTAGTGAATGATTCATTTAAGTATCATCTAATTTGAATGTGTTTTATGGTCTCTAAATAGAGATGTTTTATGGTCTTCTGACTGATTGTTATTGAAAACCTTCACTGTCTCTCTTAGCTTGAAATAGAGGATTGAAATATAGACGTTTCAGTCCCAAATATGTATGCTATGTTTGTTCTGTGAGAATCCTTTTGCTATATCTGATCTCTTGTGATTGATTTATATGTTGAAACAGAGATTGGGTATTGTTGTTTGCTATATATGAAAGCTGCTTTATATAGACTACTAAGAGCCTGTTATTGTAACAGGTTTAACCGGCATAAGGGGGTGCTATCCCGAGCAATTTCCACAATATTTAGGAGGAAGTTTGATGGGCCTTACTACAACTGGAAGGTTACTCCAATAAACATACAAGAGAGATATTTCAGAACCTTTGCGGTAATGATGTTTATATATTAATGTCATTCTCTGTATGCTGTAGTATATAGAATGTTACTAACTTACTGTTTTGTGTTATGTAGCGGCAGTTTAATTGGGATTCTGGGATTACTGGCCTTGTGAGAGCAGGATTTCTTGTTATAGCCAAGAAACGGATGAAAGGGATTGTCAGTCAAGTAAAGAAGACAGGTGTACAACCAACTTGGATTCGTAAGACAATTTGGGCTGAGATGCAGCAGTTTTGGAAAACCGCTGATGCTATAGAGAAGAGTGAGAATGCTTCACAATGCAGAAATTCTGATCGTGGCAGACTTGGAGTGCACAAACACTTAGCCGATCAGAAATCTTTTATCCAAGTTCATCAAGAGATGGTAAGATGTTTCTTTCCATCCAAACACTTTACTTTTACAGAATTTCTAATATTTCTACACATGATAATCTATTTGTCTTTCATTTTAGGAGGAAGAGTTGGGGCGTCCAGTTTCACTTGGCGAAGTATTTATGAGAACGCATACTAGAGCTGATGGATCTTTTGTGGATCAAAAGTCTGAACAAGTAGCTGAGGCATATACGAAGACACTTGAAGAGAGATTGGCTGAACTGGAAGAAGAGGGTCAGGATACTACAGAGATTTCCTCTGAACATTCTCAGCATCCTAGAGAACTCAGCATTGATGAAATGAATGATATCTTCCTTAAGGTAATTCATTTATGTCTTTAGTTTACTGAATGTTTGTTTTTGTCTTTACTCTAATGAATGTTTACTTTACTGAATGTTTGTTTTTTTGTTTCAGTGTACTCATATAGATGACCAAGGCAACCCTTATGGTCTTGGATCTCTTGCGGAGACCCTACACAAAGGAAAAAGGAAGGAGAGTTATGCGAGCTCATCTTCTACAGTGACAGTTGTTGAGCTTCAAGAGCAGCTACGGCGCAAGATCTCTGATCAGGATGCTGAAAATGCAAGACGTGATGCGGAGCACCGCACATCTGAAGCTCGGATCGCCAGCTTGGAGAAGCTCATCCTCTTTATGAAAGAAAAGGATCCTGACTTAGCAGCCTTCATGTCTTCTTCTCCAATCCTGCAACCAGAAGTCATCATACCACCCAGCACACAAACATGCACCCTTCCAACAACCACAGAAGCAGCAATCCAACCAGCTGGACTCGCACCTACTGAAACCACACCAGCCTCTCCTATTTCTAACTCTGATTCAAACCCTATGAACTAGTTTTTTATTTGCTTATGTTTTGTACTGTATAATACTTTGTTAGGATGGTTTTAATTAGTGTTTTTGAATGATGGATTATGAGTAATGTGAAATCAGTATTGCAGGTTTGGGATTATTTGCATTTGAAAGCGATTTTGCAGGTTTGGGATTATTAACGTGTAACCAATCTGTGACCAAACTAATTAACAAATGTGACCAATCTGTGACCAAACTAATTAACAAATGTGACCAATCTGTGACCAAACTAATTACAAGAAACTCCAAATCTAGTATCAAAATGGTTACTAATAGAAAACTCTTTTGCTACACAACAATAAGAGTCTTAAATTGGTCGCAAACTATTAAGACTCTTTTTCGACTAAGGTGGTACTAAAAGATATATCGTCTGCGACTAATGTGGGACTAAATATTTGATCCAAGAACTCTTTCGTTTGAACCGAACAAGTCGCAAACTAGTTGCTAACTAACATATGTCGCTCTTTAGTCAGACATTTACAACGACATTAGCCCGTCGCTCTTTAGTCGTTAATCTGCGACGCTATAATTTATGTTGGAAAACCGTCGCAAATTAGCGACTATCTTGGGTCTGGAAAAATTTGCGACCGTTTTTTAGCGACTATCTTAGTTAGTCGGGAAAGCGTCGCAAAACCCTATTTTGCGACCGTTTTGCAACCAATATGGGGGTCGCAAATGACGTGTTTTCTTGTAGTGGTTGTCTTTAAACATGTCGCAACCCTCGTGATCTTACATTCCATGAAAACAAAAAGCAAAACTCATATCCACAAGGATATGAGCATATCGTATGCATTGTCGGCTCAAACATTTCAGATGTCCTGGGGAAAATTTAAAAGATATGCCCCTTAACATCAAAAACAAAAAAAAAAATTCATTTATTTCGATAAAAAAACAACTAGTACCATTTTATCAAAAACAAGCAAAACACACTAAACAAAGATTCAGTTTGCAATATTTGTTCTTTGAATATACAAAAATTTATGCCTCTTTTGCATATACAAATTTTTTTTGTGCCCATCGTTTTACAAAAATATTTGTACTCTTTTGGCATATACAAATTTTTTTTTGAGCCCCTTCTATATATACGAAAAAATAATTTTATGTGCTCCTTAAATTTATGGACATGGGATGGTTACATTGTCGGCCCCTATACTTAAACTGGCCCTGAATTCATATGTAAACATCCTTTGCTCTTCTCAATCTGACGATTGCATTTAGGACAAAGTTTTGTCTTAGCCATGATCCAATTAATGTTCTCGGACTCATCCTGGTTCTTGAATATCCATTTTGACACCGTGTCACAATCCACAGGACGGTGAGCGTCTTCACTGCAACTTCAACAAAACCTATAAGGATACAAACCATCAAATCAAGATCGTCTTATCTTGATGTAGTCGCTAAATGATTCAAGAAGTAATTCAGCAACACTATAACTTGAAAGATCAAAGAACGACTTTTTTTTTATTGATTTATAAACTTCTAAAAACTAAATATCTCTTAAGGTCTTAGGTCTTTTGGAACAAGTCTCCAAAGCCTCTTAACTCTCTTATTTCTCTCTTATAGAACATCTCTCCATAAACTCTTATTTATATAGAACTTAGCTGCTCCTAATTATATTAGTAAAATTAAATCTTACAAAACTTTATCCTACTTGACTTTTATTTGTATTTTCATTTTTTCTATCTCTTTTAGCATCTTCTAGAAAGAGATTTTTTCTTCTTCAAGTATTGGAATTATCCAACATTTTCTCCCTTAATTCCAACTTGAATTCCGGGAAGCTTAGTTTCTTCAACTCCGATTAGACTCCTCATCTCTATGAACTTGATTCTCGCCAACGGCTTAGTAAGTATGTCCACCTTTTGTTCCACATGCTCCACTTGAATTTTCTCATTCTCCACACACTCTCGGATGAAGTTATATTTAGAGAGTATGTGCTTACTCCTTCCATGAAACACCGGATTCTTGGTAGGAGCAATGGCCGACTTGTTGTCAATCTTTAGTATGAAATTCTCGTCAATACAAAGAATCTCTTTCATCAAATCCTTAAGCCATATAGCTTGATTTTCTGCTTCCACTGCTGCCATAAACTATGCTTCACATGACGATAATGCAACGGTGAGTTGCTTTTGTGAAGTCCATGTGATTGGTGACGAGACAAGATAGAAGACATGTCTTGAAGTGCTTCTACCGTCATCAACACCGATATTGTGACTACTATCACTATATCTCATCACTCTCGTTGACCCGTCTCTCTTGAAATGCAAGCCTAAGCTAGTCGTTCCTTTCACATACCTTAGAACATGTTTGAGAGCTTGTCCATGCGACTCTCTTGGACTTTGCATGTCGGGTCTCGTGTGTAGAAGATACCTTAAACATCCAGTGGCTCTTCTATACCCTGTAGCATCAATCTCTTGCTCGTTCTCAGCTTTTGAGATCTTCAAATTTGACTCCATTGGCACATGAGTCAAATTACATGAATCCATCTTAGTATCCACATGTATTCCTTGAGCATATCCTTCTTGTTTTATTTGAATCCCATCTGCTCCTTGAAGTACTTCAATACCAAGATAATATGTTAGTTTTCCAAGATCAGACATCTCAAACTCTCTCGACATATCTTCCTTGAATTGATCAATGACTTTCCGTGTAGTTTCCATTACAAACAAGTCATCGATATAAATCACCAAGATCAATATGTTTTTCTCTGTTTTCTTGAGGTACACCGATGACTCCTTCACGCATCTCTTAAAGTTCATCTTCTTCAAGACGTGATCAAGCTTCACATTCCAAGCTCTAGGAGCTTGTCGTAGAAAATATAACGCCTTATAAAGTCTATACACTTGGTTCTCTTCTCCTTGTTTTATGAAGCCTTCAGGTTGACTTACATAGACTACCTTATTTAGATCTCCGTTTGAGAAGGCCGTCTTGACGTCTAAGTGATGTATCTCTCAACCTCTTGTCGATGCAAGTGCTATAAGTATTCGTATAGTTTCGATCCGTACTATGGGTGCAAACGCTTCTTTGAAATCTATACCTTGTTCTTGTACATAGCCTTTTGCCACAAGTCTCGCCTTATATTTGTTCACTGAACTATATGCCTTCCTCTTGATCTTGTAGATCCATTTAAACCCTATAGGTTTCACGCCATCCGGTTTTTTAACATGGTCCCAAGTCTTGTTTCTTGTGATAGAATCCAACTCCGCTTCCATTGCTTCTACCCGTTCTCGCAATTTGATGGCTTCAAGGAGATTTTCCGATTCTCCATCTATTGTTAACAAAAGCTTCTCGCTCTCTAGATCAGCTAGTAACACATAATCATCGAGGTACCTTGGTTTTTAACCACGCGACCATATCTTGTCACGGTTTATTGATTTTGTGCTCCTTGGTTTGCCCCTTGATCAACATTTACGGCTTCTTCTTCTTCTTCTTCTTGGTTTTCATGTTCTTTCTCTGGATCGTGATCATAACTATTGTTGTTTTCACCATATCCATTTCCATCTTCAATAGTCCCTCCATGAGATAGCTTGAACATTCAGGGTTCTCCGGTTTCTTTTGTTGATGTAGACGACCAGTCCCATGCCTTTTTCTCGTCAAATACCACGTCCATACCCACCATTATACCTTCATTGTTAGTGGATCATAGAGTTAATATGCCTTGGTTATGTTCCAAGATTAATTACGCTTCTTGACCTATCATCTAGCTTCTTTAGATGTGGTCCCGTGATCTTTGCATAAGCAAAAAATCCAAAAACCCTTAAGTGTTCGATGTTGGGTTTCTTGGACCAATAACTCTCATACGGTGTTTGACCTTGCAAAGCTTTTGTGGGAACTCTATTGATGAGATAGGTTGAATGACGTACGGCTTTTCCCCACATATCATTCGGAATCTTCATAGCTTTAAGCAAGCTTCTTATCATCTCCATTAGTGTTCTATTTCTTCTCTCGACCACACCATTCTATTTAGACGTATAAGGTGCGGTTAGATGCCTAGAGGCTCCATTCTCTTCACAAAATTGATTGAACTCACTTGTAGTAAACTCTCCTCCTCTATTGTTGCGAAAGGTTTTAATAGACATCATGGTTTGCTTCTCCACAATTACAAATCCTTTAAACCTTTTGAACCGATCGAAAGCTTCACTCTTCTCCTTTAATACCATCGTCCACATGTATCTTGAGAAGTCATCTGTCAAGACAAAAACATACGGGATGTTTGCTGATATTGGTGGTGAAATTGGTCTGCACAAATCTCTGTGAATCAACTCTAACGCTTGAGTAGCACGGTAGGTAGCTTTGGTTGGGAACGAGTGTCTCGTTTGTTTCCCAGCTAAGCATTCATCGCATACACTCATCTCGTGTGAAACTTGCGGCATTCAGACGACCATATCCTTTTTCACCATGTTGTTTGTAACAGCAAAACTTATGTGTCATAACCGAGCATGCCATGTCCATGTAGCTTCATCAGCAAGTCCATCAGTAAGTCCATCAGCAAGTCCATCAGCAAGTAGACATGTCGGTTTTCTTATCTCCATTGGCGTTTTGTAGAGATGATTTCGTGATCTTATGAATCTTACAAGCATCCTCCCACATGGATAGTTAAGTATCAACGAGTCTCCTTTCATGTATACTTCACATCCTCTTTCTGTTGCTTGTCCAAAACTTAGTATGTTGTGTTTTAGATCCGGTATGTTGTAGATCTCCTTGAGGGGTCCTCTCTCACAAGTATTACCCACAAAACCAATGAAACCTTTCCCTACAATGTTATCCAACGAGCCATCACCAAACTTTACTCTTCCTTTGACGTTTTCTTCTAAATTCGAGAAAAACTCTTTCTTTCTCGTTATATGGTTGCTTGCTCCGTTGTCGAGATACCAAAAACTTGCATTGTTGGTATTGTTGTTCTTTGAGAACACCTTATCTTCGATCAAGAACACACTTTGTGAATGTATAGAGCTTCAGCTTCTTGCGTCTTGTGCAAGTTTGTCTCTTGTCGTCGCGTTGCTTCCTCGACCCCTGCCTCTACCGGAACCGTCCCTCCAAAACTTCCTCTACCATAACCACCGCGATTATAGCCTCCTCTGTTATAACCGCCCCTGTTTCCTCCTCGAAAATTTTCGTAGCCACCACGGTTGTTGTTGTTTGAGTTCAAAAACATTAGTTTTCTTGATCTTCACTTTGAGTTTCTTCCCCTACACGTTCTTCACAAGCCTTTATTCTCCCAAAAATGTCTCGATAGGTCAAGAACTTTTTCAAGGGATGCTACAATATGAATGAACTTGGTTCGTGGAAGTCCCTTCAAAAAATTCGTTAGTAGCTTTGTTTCATCGAACATCTCCCCTAAAGATGTCGATTGAGCTGCAAGGCCTAAGATCTTGCACGCAAATTCGTCAACAGAGTCGGTGTCATTCATCTTCAACCGATCTAGTTCAGCCATTAGAGTTTGAAGCCTTGCCTCCTTTACCCGGTCCGCTCCCTGGTGTCGAGACTTGATGGCTTCCCAAAGCTTCTTTGTTGGGTTATGTTCTCTGACTTGAAGTATAAGTGCCTCGGGGATGGATTGGAACAAAAGTGCTATCGTCACATCGTTTTTCTTTGGATCTTCTGACCCTGGATCGATCTTATCCCATACTTTACTTACTCGGAGAATAATCGTCATTCGCATCGACCAAACCGTGTAGTCTGTCGACGTTAACATTGGACAATGGATTGATGGAGCCCTAAGGTTCTTCATTCGAGGTTGTGGATTCTCGCCCACCATTCTTGCTTACGAAAGCCACATAACACCGTATTTGGATCGAGTCTTCAACTTAAGCTCTGATACCAATTCAAATTAAGATCTCCTTATCTTGATGTAGTTGCTGAATGATTCAAGAAGTAATTCATCACCACTAGAACTTGAAAGAGTAAAGAACGACTTTTCTTTATTGATTTAGGAACTTTTCAAAACTAAACTCTCTCAAGGTCTTAGGTCTTTTGGAACAATTGTCCAAAGCCTCTTAACTCTCTTATTTCTTTCTTATAGAACATCTCTCCATAAACTCTTATTTCTATAGAACTTAGCTACTCCTAATTCTATTAGTAAAAGGAAATCTTACAAAACTTTATCCTACTTGACTTTTATTTGTATTTCCTTTTTTGTATCTCTTACATCATCTTCTACAAAGAAATTTCTTCTTCTTCAAGTAATGGAATTATCCAACAAACCACTTCCACTCCAAACACAAAAATCAATTGCGTATTCGCATCCTAGTGATGGAAAAAAATATCTATTATACTTCTCCCTAATCTTCTTTCCATCTTCAACATAAGACCTAAGAAAGTATCTATAATACTTATCCCAAATTTTTCTCTTAGTAAACTTGTCGATCATATCTTGACCAACCGCAGCGGAACAAGAAGGCTCATGATAATTACCCTCAAATATCCCGAACCCTCTTTAATTTTTTTGTGATGTAACTTGTCTAGCAAGTTTTGCAATAAGGATGACCACAAGAAACTGTTGTGATGTTCTCTCGAGTGTATGATTCAAAGCAAATTTCACACTGGATATTTTCTTCTCTATCATTAAAATCAACTACAAGATTCTTCAGTATACCAACGGTTTTACGGATTCTCTCTTCGTCCGAAAAAAAATTATCTTCGAATTTGCTAACACTCCAATGATAATGAAGAAGCAGAATAATCACTTCGTCTTGATTTATGGAGAGAACCGTGGAAACTCGTTCGATATCGTTTATTTGATGCTTACGATCGAATATCTTCTTCCTTGAGAAGTAATTATGTAATCGTTTCATGTCTCTCTCAGCGAATCCGTAAGTATTGGATTCTCTACCATCATCGCTATAAAAATTCCCCTCCCTTGATTCGATATCAATGATGTAATCATCTAAAACCCCCTAAATCGGACATTTGGATTTATAGGTAGCAGACGAAACAAAATTGGAAAATTAGGACATTCTTTTTTTAATATTGATTTTTTTTTTTTTTTTTGCATGTACGCTGTCTTCTAATTATAGGTGGTGTGGCCCAGGGAAATGGCCTATTTCAAACTGTACTTTTTCGATCGTACTTTTTCATGTATGAACATTTCAACCATGCTTAATTCAATATAAACAATCAAAATATTCAAAAAAACCCTACACAAACATTAATTCCAATGTCTAAATCTAAATTGACGTAAACAAAAATTAGTCAACTATATTATCGGCTGACTCGATTTCTATAGTGTCGCTGACGTGGCAACGATCTGAACCAAAACTACGTCGTTTTAGTATAATCAAAGTCAAAAAGGAAAATATTATTTTTTTCATTTGAACCCCTCACGTGTAGTGTTTAATTACAACTACACAATTGCTAAAATTTATCGCTATATATTTTTCAGTCATAACTATATATGTGTCATTAATATTACAATTTTAAAAATTAACAATCAGGTGACTGAAATCTTCTTCTAAATGTTTCCAACTAGGGATTGACCCGCGGTACACCGCGGTACACCGCGGGACTATATATTTTTTTAAACAAATTGAAATGTAAAAAATTTAAAGATAATGTATTAATATAAACGATTACTTTGTATTTTTAAATACATATACATATATATATAAATATATATATATATATATATAAATCTATATATATATATATATAAATCTATATATTATTATTATATAGTGTACGATTTATATATTTTTAGTATTCAATTTTTAAAATATAGATACAAAAACTTACATTTCTTTAGATGTATAGCGGATTTAAATTTGAATATTATATGTTTTTGTATTTCAATATAATGTTCTTTAAATTAAATAGTTAATTTTATGTATGTAAATGAAAAACTATTTGGCTTTGTATTTATTTGTCGAATAAATTTAAGTGACGAAAGTGATTATTTTGTTTTGCATTATTATTATAAGATTTATTGTATATATGTGTCCTTATATTTGTACACCTTTGTCATTTGCCCCCTCTCATCGTTTTAAGCTCTAAACTCTAAAAAATCTATAAATTTGCCAAGGTTTAAATTAAAAACAAAAACAGACACATATTTATGAGAAATGGCTTAGTGCAAAAAATTTGTAGACCAACTTAAATGCCTAATACTTGTAGCCTTATTCTTAGTTTCGTTTACTTCCGTTTGAACTACCTTTACCTCTAGAGTTAGGTGAAGAAGTCATAACAGAGTATCTGGACCGTTTCTTCTTATAAGTTTTCCAACTATGTAATGGCTTCTCATTTTCTTCTGCACTCTCTTTCCCACTCTCCTCCTTTGTCTCTTCTTCTTCTTCTTCTTCTTATTTTTCCTTTTTGCTTTCACTCGACTCTGCCTCTGCCTTTGACCCATTACTCGTTGGTGTCTTTGTGTCCCTTCTCTTTCGTTTCTTAGACTTTTGAAGCATCTTCTTCTTCATTCTCCATCGCTTTCATCCACTGCAAATCGCTTAAACGGTGTACACTGCTTCTTTTTGTTCATGTTTACCCGTGAGGCTACCAAAATGATTTCTCGAATCGTTCTTGTCTTCTTGAGTCTCTGAAGTGAAAGCCCACTCAAGAACTTCCTTCTCTTCTCCTTTTTCTGTCTTTCCTCGTCCATTTGTTAAAACATCCAAAACTCTATTTAGAAACAAATTAAATGAAGTGTGTTAAGGTCAAGAGATTTGATAATTATATCCGTCAATAAAAAGGAGAAACACTTAACTTACTTGATCATAGCAATAACCATAACGTCAACGTATATTAGGTTTCTAAAGATGAGATTGCACCTCCACTTTTCTATAATGCTACTCATGACAAAAGGCTACTTAAGCAACTTCCCAATTGTAATCTAATTTCATCAATAAAACAAATTTAGCCATGAAACAAATATATACTTATTTACCAGAAGTTAAATTAATTATATGAACTTTACCACCTTATTATAAATATCTCCAAAGGATCCACCACCAACTATGTAAGTTCCTTCATTGTTTGATGCAAGAGCCTTTATTGACTCCTCTGAGAAGCTCCTTACTTCAACTTAATGCTACAATCAACATATTATAATCCATAGAAACGTAAAAGTGATTTAAGTCAGAGAATGAGCCGGATAAATCTTACGCCAAGACCAGTAGAAAATTGAGCCAGGCAAAGCGGAAGCGTCGCAAAGATGAGAGACAGCGAAGAATACTTCTATTGCTTTCATTCGAGCTTCTTTTGGCTGCAAGAATAATATTGTACGTGCAAATAGATTCACATAAATTTAGCTTACATTTATTATCACAGATTCACAGTCATGTTACATTTTTACATCTCGTTTAGATTTCATTTCTGCTCGAATACGTGCCATGACAAATTTCTGAGAAAATATAGAACTCTCTTGAACACTCTTACTAATAGAACTCTCTTGAACTAAATGAAGAAGTGATTTTAAGTTTTGTGGTTACCGAAAATCCAAACGCACACCCCAAGTTTGTGAAACTCCCATTCAATTTTACATACAACCTGACACAAACAGAAAAATTAAAACTTAGTTATAAAGAAAACAGTGTGCCCCTATAAAAAAATTTCATATAGACCTGCCACTCCAACATAACATTCATTGCATGCCAATTAACTTACGGTCAATTCAGAGGATAGCATTATGTCGATTGTAAGACTCTGTTCAAGTTCATCTTCTTCAAATGGTTGGTAAAAACCTGCAAAGCAAAAGAGAAAAAAAAGATTAGATTTTGTCATTGCATGGAACAGAGATAATTAGAAGTAAAGATGTCTAATCCACAATTGAACCAATATGACATCGTAGATTCCACGAAGTGGAGTAAACTCTTACAATCATATAACATTCAGGGAGCAAAGTTTATATGATTGAATAAAAAATCACAATCAAATGAAAAGGAAGATAAAGATTGAGATGGTGATTCACGATCAATCAAGTGAGAAAATCTTATTTATAGGAGACTGTAGATGTTTATGGTTAGGTTTGATTGTAAAGCGAGAAAATCTTGGTGATCAAGCTCAAAATTTGGAAAATATTAAAATTTGAAATTAATGCTAACTATTATAATTTACTCCATAAATTATATTATGCATATTCTTTAAATATGGTATAAAGTATAATTGTAAACGAAAGAAGATGTAAGGAATATGCCATTTGTTAGATGGATTGTTGTAATTAGTTTCTATTTTTCTTTAAATTCGGGATTGTAGCTATAATTGTTGAGATTTTTGAAAAGATTGCGTCGATATTTTAGGCAAATATTTAAGGACCGAAATTCATTTCCAAATCTTTACTTAAATAAAACAAATCTAAAATTAATGTCGATATTTTAGGTAAATATTTGAGGACCGATTTCGTTATTTATGAGTTTTGTTTGTTACTATAAAATCGTTTTTATGTATAAAATCGTAACTAATTATTTTTTAGGTAAGGGAATCAAATCACATATCTTTAAAATGGTAATTAGCAATTGGTCGAATATAGGTAAGGAAAGGTCGTAATATCTTTAAAATGGCAATTAGCAATTGATCGGATATAGCTTATTTTTATTCGTACGTAATATTTTGTTGACTATTTGTTTAATTGGTAGTTTCTTTATATATGAGATATGAATTTAAATTTTGAATATTTATTTTATTAGATATCGAGTAGTTATGGTAAGTACGTAAAATCACAGCATTATCAAACAATGGTAATTAAGATTTGATTAGGATTAGCTGTTCTTATTAGTTTATATTTAATAGGTAAATCCCGAAATTATGGTAATCAATTGTTTTAATTTCGCATATTTGACTTCCATATGTTAGGATTTGATATCTCGTAACCATAAAAATAGGAAATGTTTTAAGAGTTTATTTATTGATTTGTAAATTTGATTAAGACATATATTTTTTCCAGATTTTATTTGTACGGACTAAATGTACAATATTGAAATTGTAAAAGGATTTTTGAGGCCAAATCTTCACCAAAAATGTATATATAGATAATTACGTATTCAACTATAAGAAGGGCTGAAGAACTTCCAAATTTTTTTATTCATATAGATTATTAAGGAAAATATTTTCTTAATTATAGAACATTATTATTTTGATTTTGTCAGTTTAACAATTATAAGTACACACACAATTAGGAGTTCTACCGGCTTTGGATGCAATACATTTTCCAACTCCATTGTACCCCGAATAGCAGTTTAGACGACAGTCAACAAGATCACATGGAGTTCTTGGATCAAGGATTATAGTACAATATTTATCAGTTTGATATCCCTTAGCCTTCTCAACCACTGAAAATACTAAAAGTAAAATACCATATGTTATGATGTGAAACGATATAGTGTATATTTTATGTAATGTAAAGATGAAACCTATTTTTGATGTTTGGAAGTGGAAAACATAAAATTACCTGATAACACAAGCATGAGTATGAGGAAATGAGAACATGATATGTTGGCCATGATCAATATATCAATCACAACAAAAGAAAGCTATGTACTAATGTTTTGTAAATTAGAGATGATAAATGAAAAGTTACTTTTTTTTTTGCTGTATTGTTATGTTAATGTTTCTGTTACTATATATACTGGTGTACATGACTTTTCTTTATTATTCACATAATAAAAACATCTAGGCAGAAATAAAAATAAAAGGAAAGTATATGAATGTTGAAAAATGTAGGGTTGACTACATTGATTACTATATGCACCTTTTCACCATGTTAAAACTTCAAATTATACTATTAACTTAATTAATAGAATTTTTTTTTCTTTTCCATATGCTTCCTTCATGTATAAAACATTGGTACATTTTATCTCTATTATTAGATTAATCAATATCACATGATTCTCTAATCTCTATCCATTTCAATACTTAAAAAGTGTATTCCAATTCAAACAAGCAATTATTAGATTAACATTATCACATGATTCTTTATCCATTTCCATACTTAAAAAGTGTATTCAAAGTTCAAACAAATAATTAGTAAATTAACATTATCAAATGATTCTTTATCATATTATAGCAAAACTATTGTGTTTTCTATCTATTCATCACCATATCTATAGATTAACACTATCCCCTAATTTTTTTTTTTTTGGTAAAAGGTGAAATTTTATACTATTTTGAATTTGTGACAGAAGTTACAGAGAATACTAGAAACAGATTAAAGCACACTACAGAAAATTAAAAAACAACATTACTACTCAAAATGATTCGGATCGAAACTGAGCGAACAAGGCGAAGTTATGAGGGAAAACACCGATTCCGAGATCGCGAAGCCCGGAAATTTGCGTGGTTGCCACAGGACCGAAGAACTGGAGTCCTCATCGTTGTTGCCACGAGCCAATCTAACCGAAGCCCGTCCTCAAAACTTCGTGATAGAAGCCTACAGCTTCTCCGAGAACTAACACAAAAACGCATAGACCACCGCGGACTTCTACACTAGTTCAATGAGCTAGCGATGCCACTTAGACCTATCCGCCGCCTCTATTCAACCCTCGTAAAACCTTGCCAGACACCCAAAAGCTCACCTGCACAAAGTGAACCGTCACCGACGACAACAAACCACAAAAACTCCACCTGAAAGCAACCGGAGCCGAAGCGAAAGGGCCAAGCGAAAAGGTCATGGAAACGCCATAACCATGGCCGAGGAGGCTGCCACACTAAACTGCCCACTAATGGAGGAGAGACGTTGACCACGTGAAACAAAACCCACAACGCCACTAACCGCCACGAACAAACCACAAGAGCAAACGACTATGTGACTTGCCTCCACAAGAGCCGCTTGACAGATTCCAAACCAACCACCTCCGGAGCGGAGAAAATAAGGTGGAGAGACCCAAAAAGAGAAGAATCGCCACACCAGAGCCACAACCGAAAGAGCAGGAAGATACACCGCACGAGGATAGATCAAAGCCAATCTCGCCGGAGGAGACAACCGGAAACAACACCGTCCTCAAGCGTTGACAACCAGGGCTCACCGGGAGAGCGAGGCAATCTGTCCTTGCACCGTGCGAGGGTACTCGTCGCTTCACCACCACCACTAACTCTCATCTAAAACCCTAGCTAAAAGGAAAAGGTAAATATACAAAATAGAGATTTGGTTATATCTACAAGATTAGGAAAATATCCTCAAATATCCTCAATACCCCCCCTCAAGTTGGAGCGTACAAGTTTCGGATGCCCAACTTGAGAAGGAATGCATCAAACTCTTTACGTCCTAAAGCCTTGGTGAGTATATCCGCAAGCTGTGCCGTGGTAGAGACATACTGCGGTTTGACGACCCCTTTAATGATTTCATCCCGTACAAAATGACAGTCCCGTTCAATATGTTTCGTGCGTTCGTGAAAGACCGGGTTAGAACTGATGTGAATAGCCGGCTTACTATCACATTGAATAGTCATTGGTTCACGATGATCAAAACCTTTGTTA